CAGTATGACGTTTCCTAACAATGGTAATAAATTCAAATAAAAAATATCATTAATATTCTTCAAAGTCTATACTAGAAAGCCTTTTCTCAAACATCATTGGTGCTTTTTGAAATGCACTAACACATAAAAACATCATTATATCACAGCAAGCATAAGCAAAAGCAAATACCAAATGATACATGGATTAACTTCCAGGTAAGAGATGAAAACTATTTAAAGTTTAACCTTTACAATCTGTCAAATTAATCATGCCCTGAATCATGACACTGTCCACAACTTTAAACCAACCACCACAGAACTTCATAGTCTGTTTAATTGGATACAGATGTTGTGTATAGTTTAATTTGATAAAAAAAAGTGATGAAAATGCTACATGTTTTCCCCTTAGACCTCATACCACATCTCCCCATATATGTCCCAGCTCCAGGCACCTATTAAGAGCAAACATATTCCAGAAAGGTCATGGGATAACTGCACTTCTAACGTACTGAAAGCATGATATACTGCAAGCCATTATGAATGTTGCATTGGCGCAGGAAATCAATCCATTTGAAAGGCTCTCTTGGGCAGGGATTAAGGACAAAGAAGCGGAGACAGAATAAAAACCAGGTGAGTTTGGTGTGCGGACGCTAACCTCCGGCAGAGCGCGGCCTTGTCGGTATCTGAGATTGGCAATCTCCTTGGAAAACCAACAGAAAAGAGGAACAAAGAGAGGGAGGCAGCGCTCCTCATCCTGAAGTCAAGGCCCATAGCGCCTGTCAGTACCAGTTGAGCTGCTGCATCTTTTATGAGGAAAGCCCTGTTGCTTATTACAATATTTACAGACGTTTAAAGATTGCGAAGCCAGTGCTGTTACTGCATTAGATTGGCTCGGTGGCCTTCGCTCACTAGCCCTGACAGAAGATTTTATTCTAGATTTGTTCAATCGAATCACTGCACACAGCAAGGAGACTTGTTTTTTCCTTTGTCAGTGTTCACATATGGAATAAAGTCCTTCTTGAAACAATAATAAAACTGTTTTATACAATAATCAACCACACAACTGGCTTATTAACAAAAAGCCTACAGGCTCCACTGCTGTCTGTTACAGTAAATCAGTAATATCATCACAGAGTGTTGTGTATGTGCGTCCATGTCACTTCTACAGCTCTGTTTATAGTCTGTAAGTGAATTTATCCCATCTGTTTCCCCAGGGGGGATGCTGTCCTACAGCAGTGTGGTGATCTTTGACACTTTCCATAAGGCACACACAATATGGAGACGTGTAGATGTGCTTCGACTTCCATCATGTCAAAGATGAGAGAGAGGCTTCTACAAACCAGTGCTGAGTTGCATCAATGCTGCTGCCTTGCAGGCATTGTTTAAAATATAAAAACTTCAGTCTCCTATTCATACCATAACATTTTGTTTTTATGTATATATTCCAGCTATTCCTGTTTCCTTCATTTTCTTTTTTTATTGGGAGGGCAACCCACCGAGGAATGCTATCCATCAGACTTGCTCAGAGAGAGAGAAAAAAATACAAACTTGAATAAATATTTAATTAGATTATTCTGTGATTTAATGTGCTTCTGCTTGGCTGGGGTCTACGGCAATATCTTTGGTCCATTTATAAATGCATTAACACACTGACACCCGAGACTAGTTTAATATTGATACCGGGGCTGAGTTGGCAGCGGATTGAAGCAGTGTAGGGATTGTGTTGTCTGTTCATCTGTCTGCTGTGCTGAATCACACCTGCAGAAAAAAGCATTTTATTCCTTCTCTTTCTGTCTCGTTTGAGCTCATGTTTCTTCACTGCACGATGAAAGATTAGTCAGTCTCAACCGAACTCACAGGATAAAATCTGTCCAGACGAACAGATGAATTACACATAAATCTACACTGAAACAGATCCAGCATTATTCTGAGTGATTTGCATATACATCCACTTTGCCAAAGCAAGACTATTTATTTGATCACAAAAATGAACAAGAAAAGAAAATCCTTCCACAAACTGACATGGAAATTTGACCAGTAGTTTTCCCATAATCCCGCTGACAAATAAGCCAAACCAAAAACATAACCTCCTTGTTGGAGGTTATAATAATAATATAGATTAAAGCCTTGTTATTGCATATATGCATGTGCCTAAGTGTCCAATTGTGTATTTTGCAAGCACTATAAGTGGAAGCTAATTAGTGCCAAAGGGAGAAGTTTTCACAGCCTGTGATAAATTCAACATCAGGAAATCCTCTACCTATTAATACCAATTGGGCGACAATAATTGGCAGGCCATCGACAGCGCGGGCAGAATTAATCATTTGAAGAGGCAGACTAGACTGAATTTTTAATTGGCAGAGGCAGCCACTGTTTAGGGAGGCAACCAGCTGATCACCCAGGAGACTGCTGCTTCAGACAATGCACATTTGCTAATCCTCTTGAGTCAAGTTATTATGGCCATGCATTATTATCACGCTTTACAAACTAATTCCATGTTTTCCCTCATGGATTACCAAGGGGGAAAATAGTTGCATAAGAAAAGAAAGAAATAACAAACAAAAAAAGGGCAACGTGGATGAAATTAAAATCAAAATGACAGAATAAGTGCAATGACTACGAATGCACAACACTCAGAATGATGTGTGTGTGTGTGTGTGTGTGTGTGTGTGTGTGTGTGTGTGTGTGTGTGTGTGTGTGTGTGTGTGTGTGTGTGTGTGTGTGTGTGTGTGTGTGTGTGTGTGTTGCCTGAATTCATTACATTGTAAACCATTTAATTTGATTGAACCTTGAACCCTTAAAATTGTAATTAATTTGGTTTTCTAAAAATAACTATACAATTATCATTATCAACTCAGGTAAGAGAGATGAGCACCTTGACCTGTAAAAACAAGCTAACATATAAGATGTTTTGTTTGTTTATTTAAGGGAATAAACAGTTAAAACAAAATTGCCTTTTCCTAACACCTATTGGGCGACAATCACTCAAGAGCTATACAGTGCAATCTTTATGCAACACTGACATTTTAGTATATGCATCCACACACAAACAGATACCGAAGAATGCCAAATGAGTGCTACACTGAAGAGATGTCTTCCCTTCTATGAATTTCAACTGTATGAAGTGATAGCCATACTGCAAGTTGCTTTATAAAATATGTTGCTAATAGAAGCTATGACAGCACAATCTAATGGTGCATCGAGCATGAAAACTTTATCAACATTCAATACATCCAAATATGATCACAGACATTTTGCAAGATAGCAAATATGTTAGATCAACTGCAACATAAAATATATAAATCTTTACATAATTAGCTAAATGTTGCCTTTCCTTTGTTTCTGTGTCTTTATTATCACTTACCCCAACTGTACTTTTTTTTTTTTTTAAATGTGTATAATTGTGTCTTTCCCAGGATGTCAATCATATGAATGAACAGAAAAAACTCATATTTAAGTCTTTTTTTGCTGCCGCCTCAAAACAAGGGCTTTGTGACAGTTGTGGTCAACCTTTGTAATGGTAACAGATGTAATATTTCTTTTCATGGTGATTGTATATATCATAGAAGACATTGTTTGCAAATGGCATTTACATTACCGCCACAGATTGTCATTTGTCTTTTCTAAATGTCACTGCAATAAAAGGCTTATCTCCTGTACTAACATCCCTCACATATCAACATCTGCTCTGCAGGAACGCAAGATGGGGAAATAATTTAGAAACAGGCTTATTTTATATATATATTTGTACTAATACTGCAACCAAAGGATGATCATGTTTTTGTTCTGTGACATGCATTGGACAGTATTAAAAACACAAATATTAATGCACATTTTAATTCATAAAAAAGTGTGGCAAACGCTGTTTTGGAGAGTGATTTTGTTTTTTCTCTTTGAATGATTGATTTTGTTTCTTTGGACTTATGATTTTTGATAAAATGATTGTCAGTTTGTGTCTCGGAAATGTATTGCCCTTGGTTGATTGCATTCAAAATAGTTATGATTCTGCCACCAGGGAAGCATAAATGTCATGCTAACAACAAACTAAAAGTTGGTTGAAACTGGTGATGGATGACGATGATGATGATGATGATGATGATGATGATGATGATGATGATGATGATGATGATGATGATGACGTCTGTGGGATCCACAGTAAGGGGGGGGGGGGGGGGGGGGGGCTAAGGTATTGTGAAATGTTTTTAACCCCACCCAGGCTGAGATCTACGCCACACACCCTTATAGCCAGCTTCATTATGGAAGGTGGAAGTTGTCAGTGTGTGAGCTGAGCGGATTTACAGCCTCCGCCTCCCTCAGCCCTCATGCCAGCAGAAGCAGCATCTCTGCACACCCTGCGTCCGTCATCTTGTGACAGTTCTTGCGCCCTTTGGAGACATTGTGCTTTTGAACTGATTTCGCTGGGTCGGGTATGCACCAGGTACCAGCCCCATTCTCACATGGGGAGAGATGTTAAAGAAAGCGTATGGGATGAATAAATGATGCCGCCCCTCCGCGAAAAGACGGGACTGGCAAGGCAAGGCTCTTTAAAAATGCATCTTTTCCAAGCGCCTCTGCCCCACTTAAGAGCGTGTTAGGAAAATAGCAATGAAATTCAGAACATGGCCAACAGAGTTAGTCACCCTATCATTTGTGACACTGCAAGCCCTGATAATATTTGTAAATCTCCCATTTCTTTTCTGTGTAATCAGAAATGTGGAATTTTTTTATTGTAGAAATAAAAATGATCGAAAATATTAGATTAAAATAACTTTATAAGGAATCATATATGGGACAAAATAACACACCCTCATGCATGTTAGATGAAAACACGAAAGCAATGGTGCACATGATGAATTGTTAAGAATAGTAGACTGATATCATATCTGGATCAAATGAAAAAAAAGTGACAAATACGCACGTTGTTCTCGTTACTGTTTCAACACAAATGAGTTCGAAAGAAATAATAAGCAGTTATACAGTGTTACGGGCCTCGCAGCGATTTAAAGGGGGCGACACGTTACCTTTGTGCATGCCGGTGTATCGGTCCTTGAGGACTGTCAGTTCGTGGATTTTCCCAAACTGTTCAAACAGGGGTTTCAGGTCTTTTTCCTCCAAGTTCCGCGGTATCTGCCCGATAAACAGCTTAATGGCATCTTGGTCTTTCATGTTGCCGTTCTCCGGATGAATGGAAATGGATTCTGTCCCGTTCATGGGTTTCGGAAATGTGATCTGAGGGTACTGGTGCTGATGTGGGATAAGGAGCAGTGGTTGCTGGATCGGTGGTACCCCCGGTCCGGTGAAAACCAGGCTGGAGTGAGCGGGCTGGGGCTGCTGTGGATGGTGCTGCCTTCTTGTTTCAGTCTGAGTGAATCTGGCCATTCTGAGCTGGGAGCAGAGTGGATAATAATGACAACACACACACATACACACTGTGAGAGAGCAAGCACTCAGCTGGAAACCAGGCTGACTTTCTATCCGACACAAAACACACACGCGCACACAGTAAAGGCAGGCGGAGGGGGCGGTGGCGGAATGAGCACACAGGAGCGATATGAGACGCTCTGCAGCGACACCCAGCGTCACCTTGTCAGCTACTGCAGCTGAGGAGAGGCAAGTTCTGTTGACCGATTTTCTAGACATGACTGAGCATGTTTGTAAAACGCTTTCCTTTTAAAACAGTGGGAGAAGAAGCTATACTGCAAATCATTTTCTTTAGTAAAGGTAGAAAAACAAGTGAAAATATTAATTTGGCAGATATTTTTACTTGCAGGAAAAGCACAGACGTTACTAATACAATTTACAATGGCTCCTTTCTGTTAGTTACCCAGTATGCCATGACAGCCATCATTCAGTATGTTAATTACACATGTTAGTTGTCAAATATCTTCCATGAAAAGGTCTAGTAAAAGTAAAAGCCCTTATTTAAAATATTTACTTGAAGTAAATAAGTGTTGGCAAAGTTAAATGCTGATGTGTAGTAAAGTTAAAAACTTAAAAGTTACTGCACTGGTTAGGTAACTTGTAAGATGCATTAGGGGTGTCAAACTAAATTTCATCGCGGACCACATCAGCATTATGGTTGCACTCAAAGGGCCGGTTGTAACTTTAAGACTATATAAAAATACATATATAAATATTTAATATATATAAACGTATGTATTATATTACATTATTGCCTCTGCATTGGATTATTATGGGATAGGGTAATAACTTCATAATTAACTACATCTGAAAGCAGAAGTCTAGGGCAAATAATTGGAAGTCTCTTCAGTGAGAATGTCACAAAATGATTTTTTTTTAAAAAGCCAAATTCTGGAAAAAATGTGAAAATGTAAAATAATTTAAATTTTTTAAGCAAAAATGTCAAATTCTGAGAAAAAAGTCAAATTCTGAACAAAATTCATATTTGAGATGCATTGTGGGACATGTACTTTATGGGCAACGTGCTTCTGTAAATCGGCATGTAACCATATAATAAACGTATTATATTCTTTCAGAGCTCTTGTGGGGCCACATAAAATGAAGTCGCGGGCAGGATTTGGCCCCCGGGCCTTGAGTTTGACACCCCTGCATTAAACAGTGCAATATTTATATCCAAAATGTGATGGGGAAAAGGTATATCAAAGTTAAAAGTACCTAGACTTTGCAGGTTTGGAAGTCATAATCTATCAGGAAGTCTTAACGATAGAAAACTGGCATACAAATGTCCAAGTTCAACTATAATTGCATAAAATAATGATAAGTGACACATAAATGAGGCAACTGCTCAACTATGGGTCTTTTAAGAAGCTTAACAGCCATTATTTAGCAACTAAGATTGAGGTTGGATACTCATTCGTGTTTTTGGAAATCACTAAAATTGATACAGAAAAGGAGAATGATCAGTTTTGTCATTTTGCTCATAGAATTTGACCATTTTCTTTTTCGTTTTGTTTGTTAATTCTGTTGCCAATCTTAAGTCTTACATATAGGCATGTTTTCCAAAGTTTTAGAGAGCCAGGCAACAATGATAAACTCTGTCCTTTCATGAGGTTTTACGGAACAAACACAGTATAAGTTGAATGATCCTTCTGTATATGTGGTCATACATGTTGTACTGCTACAAGTAACCAATGCAATATTTCTATCTGTCATTAGATTGAGTCAGGGGACTAAAAAATATTAACAACAATTAGCAGACTTACTGTAAGTCCTTTTCAAATAGCAAGCAGACTAATCCCCCATGAGAGGGTTTATTTGCATCATTTGCCCTCTCTTTGCAGACTCTGTCAATAGCACTCAGATACAAATCCATCATTAAAAAGTAAAGGGAACAACACTGACAAACGGTTACACAACAAGCAGGATAGTTTGACTTGCAACTTAGCCAAAGAACACACTTTAACTAAAACACATCCACTGGAAAGATTTCTAATTAAAGTCTAGTTAACAGTGGATTAAATACATTGATATTTACTGTCTGTGACAGCAGGCTCAAGGCTGTGAGGTGAATCAATATTAGCTGCTGGCTGCTGCTGCTTCTCTTCTGTGGTGAAGCGGCACCACAGGGGTCCCCTCACAGAATTTCCCTTACGAGTGGCTGCATTACCGTGTGAGAGAATTACCTTTAGCTCCCTCTGTTGCATTCAGCACTATATATCCAAAGGGCCTCTGTATGCAGTAGAAACAGACTGTCCACAAAGTTCAGTGTCGAGAAGTTTGGAGAAAGACCACAGAAAATTGTTGTTTTCGCTGCAAGGGAAGGGGGGATAATTTAGCTCTATTGAACTCATGCTCTTAATATTTCTTTCTGCAAAGCTCAATAAGTGCCAAGAGTATAGAGGAAAAGACAGGCAGGGGTACACATTGACATTATCAATCAATAAAACAGTGGGTGGTAGCTATACACAGGGCACTTGTTTTATTTTATTGTAAACTTGTTCTCGAATGTACTTCTTTGAAGCAGTAGGTCCCAGAGTGCTGCTCGACACACAGTTGCTAAAACTGATGTTTTCTTTCGATTTTTCGCGCCCAAGTCGCAGTGTTATTTTATGCTTTGCTTGTTGTGTTATAAATGTATTGATTTAAAGAGGCAGGGAACTCACTGATGTGGCCCGCCATCTGAATGGGTCAAAGTAAATGTGTTTGGCGGATGGCTCAGCGTGTTAGCCCTCTTATATCTGAATAAAATAGGGATGCAGTACAGCTCTTATTGAATAAGAACACTGAGCTGTCATGGCATTGGCTCCATGGACACTGACAGAGGTTGAGCGGCTATTTTTAGGGATGTGGTCAACACAGGGGGAGGGCATTGAGAACTTCCACCTCATGGTTTTTTATTGACCAATGCCATTAGTGTTTCGCCAAGCTGAAGGCAGAGACAAGAAATCAATAAAGGTCACACTATTAGTGCAAACTAAAAAGTTACATACAATTTAACTGGCTGGTGTTCATTCTGCTGCTTGTTAACCAGTGTGAACCCTTAGAGGGAGGCAGCCTTGATCTGTTCAGCTTGGGAAGTCTGGAGGGCCCACAGGGAGTCATAGGCCGCTGAGGGAGTCATTTTGCATTCTGTGTGCACTTGTAGACTTACAGTCAAGACAGGAAGGCAGACACACTCACATACACACACTTCCTAATTACCCAAATTCAACATTATTCCCCACATCCAGTAATTCCCTTGCATATTGTGCAAACACAGCAATGCACATATCAGAAATAGCACACATTGAATATGAGCAAACACAATTTAACTTGCCATATGCCATGAAGTTGAAGTCAGTGAGTGAATGAGGAACTTTCAAAAACAATTTGTGCAACACTTTGGTGTTAAGGGGAAGCTTCTTCTCTGCTTGGGCTGGCAGGCTGGAGTTATGAAAGTGTAGTTGAGGTTTAATAAGCGATAAGAGGTGTCCCCTGGTGCCTAATTCACCACTGCATTCTCGTTATGCATTACAAAGCATGCTCGTTCAACTGTAAGGTGTTGTTCAAGAAAATTAGGGTGTGATGTGATGATGGCATATCACACTGGAGACAGTTTTATGGACCAGTGACTTAACAGGCTGATGAGATGTGATAAAAGCCGCCTGATTAATTGTGCCGCACCTCTCTCTACAGGCCTTCAGCCCTGGGTCTAAAAGTCATGTGAAGCTCTTCGTTATCGATCAGAACTTTTCCAGTAAAGAACACTCCAGGTATTATTTTCTGATGTTTTCCTTTTGCAACCATGGAAGGAATATACTATAATACAGTGCATGGAGAAGTACTCAGATCCTTTGCTTAAAGGGGACCTATTATGAAAAATCCACTTTTCCATGTCTTTTATACATAAACATGTGTCCCCTCTGTGTAGAGATTCTGAAAGTTTCAGGAAAAAAGATTCGCTCACTTTTTGTCCTGATCCATTTATATAAAAACCTGTCTGAAAATGAGCTGATCAGATTTTGTCCACTTTATGATGTCATAACGATTTTTTGGCTTGTGTAACCCATTACATGTTACATTACATGTCACTTGTTAGACGCTTTTATCCAAAGAGACTTACATACATTCAGTACTGTGGGCAATCCTTACAGGTGCACTTTGGGGTGAAGTGTCTTGCCCAGGGACACAACGACATGCTGACTGCAGTGGGACTCGAACTTGCTATCCCCTGATTCAAAGTTCAGCGTACTAAGTTCAGGGCACTAACCCACTGAGCCACAGCCTCCCAGTGGCGGTTCTAGAACATTTTATATGGGGTGGCAAAGGGGGGGCAAGAGGTCATGCCAGGGTGGCATGGGATGGCGGACACTACGTGGTATTTTATACTGTATAACCTATTTATTGTTAAATCATGCCCTAACACAAGTGTTCTTAATGCACAAGAGAAACAAGGTGTTCAGGCAAACAAACTAAAATATAGTATAAAACAGCAAAAAGTACTCATGATACCCTAGAATTCTGTTTACTGTAAGTACAGTAAAGGTTCTTAGTTATAATTAAGTACACAAATTACATCACCGATCTCTTAGAGAGCTAAAGGTGACCTGTGCAGCAACACATTTCAATCAATATTTGTCAATACTAAGAGCCGCTAGATTGTGCTGCTGTAATGGAATATGTATGCAAGGAGAATAAAAACATACGGTCCAGCTGGAGTCTCATCTGCCTCCTGATCACTGCATCTGTCCCTCTTTCTGACACTTCATCTTTATTCCTCACATACATTTCTTCCTCTTCACTAATGTCTTCATCTCCTCCTGACTTTCTCCTGCTCTGAGCCTCCTGGTCTCTTCAGTGTACTCTCTTTTCCTTTTCCTCTTTCTGTTCGTCCTGATCACTTCTCAGATATGTCTTTTTGTTGTTGTTGAATCACTCCAGCTACTCTGGCCTGCAAGAGTCTACTTGTGAAAAGCACTGGTAC